ACACTACAGGGGTCTGGAAAATTTTTATTTTCTAGACGCTCGGAAATAACCTCTGTGGTGTTTTGGGCGATCAATAATTTCTTTTTCTTTCATCCTATTTTTACTTTCGAAAAAAGAAAGGGGGAAAACGGCCAGCCCACCTCCCCCCACTAAATCCTCCCGTCTGGTACGATACTATACTGTTTGTTACGCTGAGCATAGGAAAATGCATAGCGAAATATTGTGAAAATATTTATAATACAGTGAAATATTTTTTGAAAGTTTGCATGGTGAGTTTCAATAACAAATCATTAGACTTTTGGTAAACCATGTGTAAAAATATGGTTTTTGAGGTAAAACCACTGGTTGGTTGTGTCAACATTTTGGTAAAATTACTCTGACCAACATTCCTAGCTATGGCACCATAACCATAAAATTTCCTCTTCCTATAATAATTAAGTGAGGTTTAAACGTTATGTGACCTCGCTACTAGTATTGGATCTATTTAAGAGAGTTTTACAGGATAATTTGCATATGACTGTTCAACCTTAAGTTCAAATTGATTCATCTGACCGACATTCTCCTGATGTTTCTGAGCACAAGCCAGTGATTTCACAAAAACCATATTTTTACATGTGGTGGGTGTATCAAAAGTTTAATGATTTTGTTATTTTTCTGAGTGATTCTATTGTAAGAGATACAGGACTGTAAAAAGTTAATTGTTTTTGCCGGACCAAGGTCTAGTTTTCCTAAAATAACTGCTAGTCCTAATATAGCTACCGAATATTTGTTTTAATATATTTTTGCTAGCTCAGCCCAAAATACTCAAGTCCCGGACCCTGGACCACCAACTTCTTTTACAGCCCTGATATATCTATGTTGAATATTGTTAATTGGAACACCTGTTAACTACTCCAAATCAAGGCGGGATCAAGCAATTTGACATAGAGGGGAACTAGGGAGGAAATTTTACAGGGGGGGTCCAGACCACTTTACCCCCACCATCACCATAACATTTCATCATCCTATAATTACGACCTCTACTACTATTTATGGGTCACCAATTTCATCTATTGAATTCAACTTCAACTTTATTTGCAATCAAATTAAAAAAACATGATTGGATAAAACAATTAAACAGTACTGAAAAAATAATTTTAAAAAACATTCAAAAGACGTCCATAAGATAAAAATACAAGAAAAACACCAATATCATTGAGAAAATAGAAGTTATTTCAAAATGTCCAAGATTAAGGACAAAAGGGACATCATACATTTTTATTTAATTATTTTATTTAAACAAATTTCAATTTTAATATATTATATAGGTTCCCTTTAATTAAAAACCACTCGAATTAAAGACAACCACTTTTCTGTCCCAAACAAACAAATTTCTTTTATTTTTATTATTCTAATTAGAGACCAAAGCTGCTAAAGACCATGGAAATCCCGGTCCCAAAAGTGGTCTTTAATTGGAGGGAGACCTGTATATCAATTATCAGCTAAAAATAGGTCAATATTCAACATCTACAGATAGAAAAAAGATCAAATTGCAATATAATATTTATGAGAGTTTTTTACAGGATAATTTGCATATGACCGTATGATCGTTTAACCTTCACACTGATTCATATTGTATGTATTAGAGTGGGCATAAAGGATGAAAATTTGTTCTCACCTCATATTTTCCATTTTCCATAAACCATGTGATGTGGTCATCCATGTCACGCTGCCGTCCAACCACAACATCTTTAGGACTGACAATGTGAAAGATGCATTCATCTTCAATGTACTCTAAGATGAAGAAAAGCACAAATACAAAGTTAAATGTTTTTTCTTTTTACATAAATAATAATTATAATAAAACAAAATAATGAGAATTATGATAACAATAATGAATAATCCTGAGTGTGTAAATTCTCTTCACATCATTTACAAAATTATAAAATTTAAGACATGAAAACCATGTTGACATGTCTTAGGTTGTATTGTGTGTGCAATTTAATAATTCAAGTGTGGAAATCAGCATTCATACACGCAATGTTGAATTACGAGCAAACCCATATGCTACGTACGTGCATACACATGTGATGAATATTTATGTGTAAATGAAGTATTATGCTACTGCATGTGTGTAAATCGCACTAAGATGTGTCAAATTGTATGTGTCATGAATCGCACAATAGAAAAATCTCAATCAGTTACAGAAAAAATGATGAAATATTTGAGAATACATAAAGTCAAAAACATTCTGATTATCGTTTAGTTGATCTACTATACAGTAAGTACTGATGCATGCTAAGTGTGCCAACAACAACAGATACCGTACTTATTTGAGTAAATTACGTCAGCGTTAATTGTTGAGAAGGGTTTCTGAGGGGGCGTTCATTCGAGGGAGGTGTTTATTTTTTGGTGTAAAATGGGTAAACTATTGGACAAACTTAAATTGCTGAATCGTAAAATAAGATATTTCTTTTGACTACGATGGCCAATTAGTCAGAAGAACGTTGTTTGTATGACTCTCTAGTATAGGGCTAAGCCCATCTTCACACGACAAGGCTATGCAAACACGTTCAAGTATTCCATTATTTCACTCCATTTCTAATCTAACGGGTCAAAAGTCTGACATTTATTAAAGAAATATTACCAAGGCTTTTCGATAAGTTATTTTACGATAAAATGTACAAATAAATAAGTTTGAGGAGTTTAAAAACTGTTGAAATTTACTCGAGCAGAGGTATATTATTGTGTGAAAAACTGCTAGTGTTTTGTTTTGATGTTATACCCACTATAAAAAATTTGGTTTGGTAACCAATTTGGTCTATTGCGGAACTAAAATACATATACTGCAATTAAAGTCAAAATGTGTTATTGCATGAAAATAAAGATTATGGTATGCAGTTCTACTATTTTAGTAGAAAATTAATAGAATGTGTTGACAATGATGTTGTTTCCATTAGTTTTGTTTACAATTATGTGGGGGGGTGTTTACTTGAGGGAGGCGTATATTCCAAATGAGGCTTTTGAGAGGTGTTTATTCAAGGAAAGTGTTTATTCAAAGTGGGGCGATTATTCAAATAAATACTGTATTTCATTAACATATTTCAACTACATTCACAAGATGAATGGTATAGCACACCTGTAATACCACAGTAATCTTAAGTGTGTAACACACATCAATATTGCACAGTGTATGTACAAACTATTAATGATAAGTGCACAGCACATTTAAGTGATTCTTAAAGGATAGCAGAATGGTTGTTGAACTTATTACAAAGCTAATGACAAGTTGTCCTGATTCTTCTTGACCGCCAGCCTTGTTTGATGTCATTTATTGTCATTTCACAAATTAATATGCAAAGCGACGCTACTCAAAGAATACTAAACGAGAACAAATAGCAAAAGCACCATAATGAATGGAATACAGGTCTCCCTGTAATTAAATACCCCTCCCACTAAAGACCACATTTTCTTCACAAATCAACAAATTTCTATTGCCTTAATATTATTCTAATTAGAGAGTTTTTAAAATCCATGGAAACCTCTAACTATTAAACTTATTATAAATTATTATTATTATTATTATTTTTTTGTGGGGGGGGGGGGGGTGTTTACTTGAGGGAGGCGTATATTCCAAATGAGGCATTTGAGAGGTGTTTATTCAAGGAAAGTGTTTATTCAAAGTGGGGCGATTATTCAAATAAATACTGTATTTCATTAACATATTTCAACTACATTCACAAGATGAATGGTATAGCACACCTGTAATACCACAGTAATCTTAAGTGTGTAACACACATCAATATTGCACAGTGTATGTACAAACTATTAATGATAAGTGCACAGCACATTTAAGTGATTCTTAAAGGATAGCAGAATGGTTGTTGAACTTATTACAAAGCTAATGACAAGTTGTCCTGATTCTTCTTGACCGCCAGCCTTGTTTGATGTCATTTATTGTCATTTCACAAATTAATATGCAAAGCGACGCTACTCAAAGAATACTAAACGAGAACAAATAGCAAAAGCACCATAATGAATGGAATACAGGTCCCCCTGTAATTAAATTGTATTTGTTTTGATGATGGAGTAAGAGCAGCTTACTGTTTTGGCTTATGCCTATTACTTACTCCTGGCAAGAATATTGTATGTATACTTTTTACTCTGCCGAATAAATATTATTATTATTATTATTAAATACCCCTCCCACTAAAGACCACATTTTCTTCACAAATCAACAAATTTCTATTGCCTTAATATTATTCTAATTAGAGACCCAAGTTGTTAAAATCCATGGAAACCTCTAACTATTAAAATTATTATAAATTATTATTATTATTATTATTATATTATTATTATGATATAATTAATAATACAGTAATTACTTGATTACCATATTTTTTTAGTCATTAAAGTTTTTTACACTATAAGCATTGTGCTAAAAAGTCTGCATTTACTTATTCAAAAATATTAATTACTGTTTCACAATGTGTGCTTTTAATTATCCTTATCCTCATTCTAACCTCACATTATTCTGAACATTAACTTCACAATAACTGACATAAAGTATGATTCCAGACAACAATACAATAGGTTTTTTGTTATAAACAGTTATTTTTTTCTTGACATTCGTCAATTCTAATTCTCTTCTCTAGACATACAGTAGATGCGATATCTTTCTTCAGTAAAAAAGATCACAACTCGCACCAACCATCATCATAAGATCAAAACAGGATATCCCAATCATACTTATGTCATTGTCATGGGATCGATTGTCATAAAAAAATTGGCTGTCATGGGAGAAAATGTCACTGATATAGGTGACAAAATTCAAAAAATCACAAAATCAAAACATATGTTAAGATTGTCAAAGAAAATCTAAGAGAATATAGATTATACGAAACCAGGGAAGGGATTACTGAAATCCTTTGTGAATTGTAGTTTTAATCCTATGATTAACATCATGTTAGACAGGATTATATATTTCTAATAGTTATTTATGTGCATGTTGTGAATTTCCTGTGTAGGAAAATGATTAAAGCATACCATGTATATGGCCACATTCTAGAATCGGTAGTTTGGATCACTGCACTATACACAATTGAATCTTTAGACAGTGAACTAATTTCAGGTGTCATTACTGTTGGACATAATATCAATGGTACAAGAAGATAAGAAGATTGTGTAGTATACAAATACAACAAGGTTTGAGGTAAAGTAGTGAATTCTACTTCCAGAGGAATTGGTTGATTAGGACTACCCTCATTCTACTTCCCGAGGCTTGTGCGAACCCAAAGATGTTCGAAAAGGGGTTTGCCCAAAAGTGGGGCTGATCGACACAACACTACCCTATGGGGTCTGGTGAGGATTACCCTATGAGGACCGGGGATTACCCTATGAGGTCCGGGGATTACCCTATGAGGTCCGGGGGCTTTCCCCTGGAAAATTCTTGTTTTCTAGACGCCCGAAAATAACCTGAGGCATTTTGAGCGATCAGTTATTTCTTCCTTCTTGGTTTTTCTTTTTTTTTTCTACTTTCCAAAAGAGGGGACCGGGGTCGGCCCGCCCCTGCCCCTTCCAAATCCACTACTGCAAGGTGTTGGTTGATTGGAGCTACACTTATTCGACTTCCCGAGGAGTTGGATGATTGGGACTACCTTATTCTACTTCCCGAGGAGTTAGATGACTGGAACTACTCCATTCTACTTCCCGAAGAGTTGGATGACAGGGACTACTCCATTCTACTTCCCGAAGAGTTGGATGATTGGGACTACTTCATTCTGCTTCCCGAGCAGTTAGATGATCAGGACTACATCATTCTACTTATGATGTGTTGGATGATTATCACTACCTCCCTCCGCCTCGCATCAGTATTGAGTCTCAATCATACAGACATTTGTAACTGCAGTGTGGGGGAAATGCTAAGCCATTTATGAAATTAATAAGCAATATTAAACCAGGCAAAAAAATTATACAGGAAATATTTAATAAATTGCAAAAACAAAAAAAATGAAATACTACTGGCATTAACTTGTAGCTGAGACTTTCATAATATAAGGGCATGACATAAGCAGTGAACAGAGCGTTGTTATCCTTCAGTAGTACACTTGCTCGCCTTTTGTAGGCACAGCGCAAATGTCCCCTTTAGTCAAGACTTTCCTCAAGTTTTGTAAACATGGAAACATTTACTTTAAGAGTGTTCTGATTAGTTAAATTGTGAAAACATACTGTCTCAAAAAGCCAAAGAATCTTTGTCACTGAAGTGACATAATCTGCTTTACTGAAAGGTACAAATTATTCCAAATATCTCAGTGTATTGTATTACTATAGGCATGCAGGGTTCTCACCAGCATGTTAGGAGTGGTGGTCGGCGACCACGCCCACCCCGACCCCGACCCCTGGGGGTGGACGCCGACTGGGGGTTGGGTTCACAGGCCTAACTCGCCACCCAAATTTTAGGCCAAACTGAAAATCATAGTGGTAGGTGAACTAGGCCTAGGCCTAGCTAGGAAGGCCTATTCAGTTCAGTAGGCCTAGCTAGGCCTAGGGGCCTAGCCCTTAACGTAACTTCGGCCTCTAGCCTAGGCCTACAAAGTACAGGCCTAAATTGATTAATAATATATTTGTGACGACTTACTTCTTGTAAAATATTTTCAATGTCAATATAGCAGGTATAGTTTTGAAAATGTATTACAAATGTCGTCGCCGCTTGCAGTACTACTGTACACGAGCGTCGCATCGTGCATTGTTTATTGTTGCATGCTCTAGTGACTATCGCGGATTAATATGATAATAGTACTAGGAAAGGAGAGAGGCTTGCGCCGCCACCCAAACAAGAAAGTACTACTTTGTTTTTAACATGTGATTGGAGAGTGCGCTGGCTGCGTGTGGTGGGATCTCTAAAGATAGATTAAATTTCAGACATATCAGAGTTAACTTCGTCGTTGTTGTGCCTTATTCCTTGATTGAGTAATGTAATGTAGTTAAAGCGCTATACCGCGCTTTATATAAGATATTAATAATAAATAGTAATAATAATTAAAGCTGTGTGTAGAAATTGGGCATTTAAATTTTCTGTGTATCTGGCAAGGAATTCATCTGGCAACGCCAGCAGATGAAAAAAAAAAAAAAACGTGCTACACTGTAGATAGAGCGAAATGCATGTTGTGTAACGGACGTATCGTGGATGAGGTGTTGTGATCGGAGTGTTTAAAAAAACGTTGATGATAAACGCTAAAATAAAGAAGACAGAACATATATAGGTTTATAGGCCCATTGTGGTTTGTTGAAGTCGTCCTATAAATAAATAAATAATATTACAATATTGGCGACGATGTTAAATAATTGCTATTCGTTCGGCTTGAGCGGACACGATTTGAACTGAACAAACAATGCTAGGCCTACAGACAGTACAGTATAAGCCTACAGCTAGGCCTTAGTAACGTAGTAGGGTTTCAAATTAACGTAACCACGGAGACGTTAATTGATATCTTTGTCTTATCTAACATGTTCATTGTCTAGACACTGAGTTGTTAATCACAACTCCCTACTGTAGTCATGTAACGAAAGTATTTTGTTACGTTGTTTTTCTCAACTATCAATTGCAAAAATAGTGGTGGTCGGCAGTATGGGAGTGGTGATCAGAAATTTTGAGTGGTAGTCAGGGCCGTCCAGCGCCGACCACCGTGGTGAGAACCCTGGGTATATTTCTCTAGGTAGCCCTATGGTATATATTTAATTTACACCCATATTGATACCCATGTAGAGAGTGTCATTAAAGGTACAATGTCCATATTGAATTTATTATTAAAATGCCTACTTTTTAAAGTAAGCTTTTATTTTTATTAAATTAAAATACAAATGAGGAGACATTTTCCAGATGCAGATTTTTTAAATTTTTTTTTTTGGGGGGGGGAGGTGGGAAGCCAGTTTGGGACCCCTAAATTTTTGAAAATTAACAAAATAATAATTAACTTAAATAAAAAATAAAATATTAAATAAAATGTTACAAATAGAATGACCTACAAATGAATCATTGAATACAGTGTAAAAAATACTAATGATTTTTAAATTCACTAAATCTTCTTCAAGTATTTAATTAATTTCGTCTATGACTTACAATAATTCACACATGTTATTAACCAGATGTTGTAGTAGATTTTCGACATCATATGCAAGGACACAAACATTTCTTTATGAATTCATTGAGAAAATTAAAAAAATGTATTTTCAACAAATTCACACTGAATTATATATTAGGAAGTGGAGAAGGATGCAAGTTGGGTATGTTGATCTGTATCCAGCAAACCTGGGAAAAAAAGCACCTTGAGAAATTCTAGTTATGTGCACTATATAAATCCTATTAAATAAATAAACAAATAAATAATTCAAAATATGTTACTAACCTAAGTGATAGTTGTTTGCTTCATACATTTGAAAGCCTCGTATTGACAGTGCATCACTAGAAACAATTTCATAGTCATCCGGTTTGGGGTCCAGAATTTTTAGCTGTGGTCGTTGAGATTCAGAATCCTATAAGATTAAATTGAGGAATTGTGAGCGTTGTTAGCATATATAAATCCACCTATGGAAGAATAATGAATTGTTAATGAGTAAATTTTAAAGATATATTTTAAAGTTTTGATGTGCAGGTAATGGGCACCAGAGGACAAAATATAGTTGTAGTCTTAAAAATGATGTAAAGGATGAAGGTAATGGTAAAGGAGTCAGCTTGATAACTGCATATTATGAAAGCTTAAGCAAGCAGTGATGCAGGTACACATACGGTATACTACGATGAGTGTGTTGATAGAATAATTGGCTTAGAAACATGCCATGAATAATAATTTAAAACATGCCTTAAAACAATTCTGTATGTATTACAACAAAGGCATGTAAACAATTTATAACACATTTTCAGAAAATAAATTTTAGATTTTTAATTCTGATAAAAATATCAGTACCCGGATTCACAATGACTTTGTGTGAATATAATTTCAAGCTACAAAAACAGGTGAGAATTCTGTTGATACTTAACGATGCGATTGACAACAAAAAGTGTGCAACAGACGCTGTCAAAAATTGCGAGTGTAATTGGTTTTCTATACAAATTAGAGACTGGAGATGTATCACTGAAACTCATTACCAGCTAAAAAATATATCCTGAGAATAATGATTTTATAAAATCCATCCTCAATAAAATTTGCCTGAATTTCCAGTAAATGCATCAATTTCACCTGTTGGAAATAATGGAATAAATCAAAATATAGTTTAATCTGCACACCATTTCCACACATAGCCTACATTTATCATCAGATATCGTGACCCCATCCATCAATGACTTCGATCATGCATCAGCGACTCATAACAGGAAAGACGAATGGATATGACAATAATTCTGGGCACACAAGAAGTGCCTAGGAACATGTGGTTTGCCTTAGACCACAGGAAATTGACGGCAATTCACATAAATCCAATTACTACATATATTATTCATGTGAGAATACATTTAGAATCTTATGGCCCAGTGGTAAGGGCTTCGGGCTTTCAATCGATTGGTCGTGAGTTCGAGTCTGGGGGGGGGGCCTGTCACATGGTTAAATGTCCTTGGGCACGGCTTCTTTTCTATGCTCATCTCTTTATTCACTCAGGATTAGAAATGCATGTCTAATAGGATGCGAATAATATATTGGTCCCTACAGTGAATTTAGAGCTGTAATAGGAAAAATATCTTAAACTCAATCATATTCATAACATCTACCACAACAAATGTCCAGATTATATGTACCTAAATTTTACCCCAATCTCAAGTCAACACCGATACAACACCAGAAACAGGATATACAACTTTGTTGTTCCAAAAACAAAAGGTGCTAATCACACTTCATTCTTTGCAACTGGTATCCGAGACTGGAATGCTCTACCCAATTATCTTAAAGAAATTACTGACCATGGGATGTTTAAGAGAAAGCTTAAAGAATTTTTACTTACTGATTTTTAATGTTTCATGTTTTTATCCTTTACTACATGCAGTTTTTATATTTACTCAATTAGTAATTTTAATATTCAATTTTAACTTTTACAATTTTTAATTTTAAATTGGCCTATGTTTACCTATTTTATATATTTTACTATATATTCTAAACCTTGCCAGATCACTATCTGTAAATATTCGCTCTTGTGCAATAATTACCCTGGCTTCTGGACCCCATTGGAAATAAGTCTGGTGTACAATCACTAGACTTAATGGGTCATCCAGGCATTCAGTTAATTATTCATCTCCTTTTTTTATGTTCGTTCTCAAAATGTTATTGTTATGTGTGTGATATTGAATGCAAAATAAATCAAATCAAATCAAATACTCCCAAGTGAGCAGACGAGGATGCGTTATGCTGTTGTATAGATGCTTTGTAGGCATGATATGCCAAAAAACTGTTGTATGCCCATATATAGTCATGATGTGCCTAAATATGGTCAGGATGTGATGTCATTATGACCATATTTAGACATGTCAAATGAAATTTGATAGTGTGGACAAGGTCATTTGCCTGATTTTCATGAATCTAAATGACTGTGGTATAGATGGAATAGCCATGTATCCAACTGATTATAAATTATTGAGGTTGAGCTTTGGTTTGGTGAATACGGTACCCAATTTGTAATCCCAGTGTCCTAAGTCCTATCCTAAATAGTTCCATAATTATTTCACATCTTCCTAAAAACCGAAAGGTCCACTGATTATTCTCAGATAAGATAGTATAATACATACTCCAAGTATCGAAATGCATGCCATCGTGTCGGGATTTAATATTTCGACAATAATTATGTCATCATCAGGAATTTGATGATGACATAATTAATGTCGAAATATTGAATCCTGACACGATGGCATGCATTTCACTATTTGAAGTATGTATTATACTATCTTATTTCACATCTTTTTTTCAAAAAAAATCTAATTCCTAAGCTACAAAAATGATTTGCAAGTTGGCAGGCTAACTCAAAGTAAGTTTTAAATATAACATAATAAACCAATTTAAATGAAAGTATTATTATTTATTATTATTATTATTATTATTATTAAGAAAAAGAGTGTAAGTTACCTTTCAGAATTGTAGTAACTTACACTCTATTTCTTATTATCATGACAGAGTTAGAGAATAACTTCCATGCGATTATTATTATTATTATTATTATTATTATTATTATTTGATAACTACACCCTCTCGCTATGAAACCATGGGTACTGTATCTAAGTGTAGGATGTATTTTAGTTGTCACCATAATTTTTTTAATTTGGTTATTACCTGATGCTATAATCAGATCACATTAGCATAATGGCATGATTAACTGCCAAGATCATGAGCCAGATCTCACAAAGTACAGTTGGAAAATCGAGAATGTTAGCGGCTTAATCCGATTTCCTGCGACATAATTAATGATTTATTAGAGTAGCTTATCCTCCGAGAATCACTCCTGATTAATTAGGGAGGAACTAATACCTTCATTCAATTGATAATAATCCACAGGATACTAAAACTGTTATAATTTATTTGTTCGACGTTAAAACGGAAATGCATGTGAAAATGGCAGAAGAGAAAATATATATTGTGTTCTTTAAACATCTGGACAGATGTTTGTACTCATTTCAGCGAACCTGTCTTTATAATAGACAGTACAAATTAGATTTATTCTTTTTTCATTAAAAAAAAACATACATTAACAGGTGGATTTGTAATTATAACTATAGTCTACATAATATGTGAGGTCTCACCATGAAATAAGACGCATCGTTGGTGAAATCATATTTAGATATTCACCAAAATAGGTCAAAGGCAACATTTTTACAAAATTTTGATTTTAATGTTTTTGAATAACTTGATACTTATATTTTATGATTGTGTACTTTTAAAGTGAATTTTCTTACTAAAACAGTGTTCTCTTCGCATATTCTCTAATTCTAGTCCTATTATTTGTACAAGTTAGTTTATCTTTGAGTTCGATTTTCTCAAAACCTGGTTCTCATACACATAAACTTTAAATGCTAACATCTCTGGATCTATTTATCCAAGTGGAGCCATTCAAAACCCAAATTAAAGCTTATAATGTGATCTACCAAAATGTAATATAAACTCATTTTTTGATTTTCTAACGATGAGACTCATTTTGTAGTGAGACCTCACATATTTGAAGACATACTCGCACTAAAAAAAAAAGAAACCTTACAATTTGAACAGCACATTGAAACTATGAATTTAAAAAGTTATCAACTGTCGTTTTGCCATATGGGCTTTTTCGTAATCATGTTTCGCATTTTTCAGCGGGTTGTATGGTTATACAGTACAGGTCTCCCTCTAATTAAAGACCCCTCCAATTAAAGACCACATTTTAGTGGTCCCATATTAGAAAATGTCTTTTATCTTTATTATTTTAATTAGAGAACAAAGCTACTAAAGACCTTTAGTCTTTAAATAGGGGAGAACTGTATTTCATCATGTGATCAGCTATAGCTGACTTGAGAACGAAATCAGATCCAGAACAAAATCAGTGGCGGATCCAGGGGGGTTCTAGGGGTTCGGACGAACCCCCCTCTGTGAAGAAACGTACCAAAATACTACTGGGTCCTGGCTTACAAAAAGCATGCTAGGCTTAGCCCAACTAGCATTCAATTTAATACAATTAAAAACACTGTTTTTGGCTCGACGTCGTAATAATTTATGTACGAATGTGTGTTCTTCAGGCCTATTGGTTCATTGATCTATAAGAAAGACTACGTATCCAACTACTCAATATTGTTGGAATATATGCCTAAGAATGTATTGACTATGTCTTTGATTTTCTTCTATGTTATAGGCCTAAAAATGAGATAAAATCACCTGACTTTTTTTAAGAGGGGCAAAACCTTAAATTTTGAAGAAATTAAAAGACACTTCAGAAGTCGGGAAAGCTCATTTCCGGCCATCTTTAATTTTTGGGTTTATTGGAAAAATTTTGAACCCCCCTCTTTGAAATCCTGGATCTGCCCCTGAAAGTATATAATTTACTTGATTTTAACTTTATGAAAACACCAATCACTGTAAAATACATAGTCTCACCGATTCATTGGAGTCTTGTCTCAGAAAAGCTAAAACCACGAGCTGGTTATCAAGTGGGGCCACTCCACAAACAAAGAAATCCGTCTTGAATAATGAAACTGAGAAGTATGGAGAAAAAAGAAATAATCAATTATAAAAATGAAAGACTGTCAGCCACATTGAAGCATATTTAATGGTGGGCTCACATTTCCACAATTCAACCCTTTAGCTAGATATGCTGTGAAAAGCTCAATCAATCAATCAATCAATCATTCACTGGATCCACTTTTGATACAGTGGTACTCATACAAAATGCATGGTGCTATGGTTCTTTTTTTTATCAGCACAGACTTCGGTCAATTAATGCATACAAGTATTTTGGGCTCTTTGAAAAAAGAATATTTGTGGCAAAGACAAGCTAAACCAGTCACTCGTCACAAATTGTGTTTCAGAGAAAATAGCAAAAACATGCTAGAATGTAAAATTTTAAAAAAATCTATTTTATTTCACTAAACTAAGGTTTATGTATCTATACATCATGCTGTGCTGTTATTTTTCCCAATTACAATGTTAAAACAACACTTTTTAATGATTTTGTAATAGTTTCTGCATGAGAAATGCCTGAAATCATAAACTTTGAAGGCTGATTTCTCATATATAGTTCTTTAAACAGTTGTATGCTTAAATGCTCGTAACTTCATAAGGAAATGTCAGATTTGAATGATTTTTTTACCATTTTATAGCTCCTATTTTACACTTTAACCCTGTATTAATAACTCAAAATCGATTTTTGCGACGAGTGACTGGTTTGGCTTGTCTTTGCCACATTTTGAGATTTTGGGTTAGTGAGGGTTGAACGAAGATTATAATGATTATTAAAAGTATAATGTTGATGAGGATGATGATAGTGATGATGATGATGATGATGACGAAGATCAGGATGTTTATGATGGTTAATGATGTTGATTTTCCTCCTCTCTCTCACCTATTTCGACAAAGCGAAGTGGTAATCTCTTTGCTTGAGCCTCATAAGGTAAGCGGTCTTTAACAACACATATCTGAAAAAATAAGGTTAGATATTATTTATAACCAATAATTTCAAAGGCAAAGCTGCCCTTCTATTTTTAATGTATAAACCCAGTGGCACTACTCTGTACACATGAATTTAGTTTGAATGCACTATGATGGTTTCACTAACAACATAATCATAATTATAAGAAAAAATATTTTTTCCTTTTATTATACAATATAATAAAAACATTATAAAAAAATAGTAATTTAAAATAATTAAAATGTTATTGATAATAATAAAAATAAGAATAAAAACAGGAAGTAAAAATAATTAAAATTTTATTAGTAGATTAGTACAAAAAAATAACATTTGATGAAAAGAAAATACATAAATAATACAATATCTACCAATTTGAGACCTATGACCTGGTTTAGATTCACATCCTGGTATCTTTACCTTAACAGTATCAGCCCATCCAATAATAAGGGTTTTGTCATCCTTCCAGCAGATGCTGCATGTATAAATTTCCGAGCGTAAACCTTCACCGTGGTCTCGACGGATGAATGTTATCCGTTGTCTGTGCAACACATCGTAAACTTTTACTCCCTGGAGAGAAGGCAGGAAGACAAGATCAAACAAAGTTACAAAATCCTTTCACAAACACTGCATCCCCTAATTGTCAAATTAATTCCATATTTTTTACATTATTTGCATCTCTTTACCTATAGCCACAAACTCTCTCTCACTCAATATTTTCTTTGATTCATAATCTTGCTCTTCAGGTTTGGCAACACACACACAGGTAAGTACCTCAGAAAACTCATATTTCTTGCAAACTTGCATGTATCTTAAAAAGTTTTTGAAAGGTTTAAATTCTGCCCCATCACTTAACAGGTATAGTTGAACTTTACTGACAAGGTAAGTACTACTTGCAGCCTATAATGCATTCTTTGATTGGTTATAATAATTTAATATTTATATATTGCTTATTGCATATTCCTTATACTGTATGCACTTTATACCTGAGTTAATATCATAGTGGTAAGAAAGTACAGTTATTATAAAAATTCAGGTAGATCTCTACAACTAATGATGAGTCAAATACTTAAAGAAAATGAAGGAAAAATGCAATGTTCTTGCCAAGGAGAGTATTTTAAATGCCGGAAATATGCATGAAACTAATTTTACAATCTTAAACATTACATTGAAATTTGAACAAAAAGGTAACACTGGAGGGAAGGTTAAAGATAATTATGTTGGATATATAATGTTACATTTTAATAATCTAATATTATTTATTGCATATTGGGCTCGTCTCTGGAGATACTTTTATAATTATATTTGTTTTTTGCTGTATGAATGATTTCATAGACTAGTTAGTATTGTGTATATAAATATTAAACAGTAAAGATGCCACAAAAAGACATGAGGGATTCAAACTTGGGTCTCCTGGATGATTTACTGCCTTAACGACAAGGTCGATACGGTTTCATTTTCATAACCGAATGGAAGCATCTTCTTCAATCTTGTGTTTGACTACAGTAATACTAGGGAACAATAGTAATTCTCCTCTATTCAATATCTGAATGTATTTTTTAAAACATGGCAATTATAATAACCTTTTAGACCCTGAGGAAAAGATATATAAAAGTAGAGATGGAATTCAACCAGCAACATAAAGCATTGCTATGGTTCTGAGGAATTTTGTCACAACTATTAAAACATAAATTGCTTACTGACTCACTCAGTTAAATCTCCATAAATTAAATAGCATATTCATGTTAACAAGATGCTCCGGAAGAAAATTTGTTTTTGATATATTGTACAACACAAAAAGAATATTTGCCGAAAAACCTGTGAGTGGTTAATAAGATACAGATTATTGAATATTTAAACACTGGGGGAAAAAAGGTGAAAAAGGTTACGCCCCTTTTCCTTCTCCAGTTTTTAAGTATTCAAAAATCGGTATCTCATTAACCGCTCCCAAAGTTTTTCGTCAAATATGCTTTTTGTGTTTTAGATAAATCAGTTGTACAACATATCAAAAATGTTTTATCCTCCGGAGCCTTCTTTTATGTTTAACATTAACATTTAATTAAAGAGTGTGATACTCATTATAAACTTATTTTTCAATACTTTGAACATGCTTTAATTTACATATACTGTAGAAATTATCAGCATCATGATGACAACAAACAAGTTGGCTTCCATTTAAAAAATGTTGTGGTAGTCTGTATAATTTCATTTGTTCAACAATTTACAACATATGTAAATCATTTTTACTGACTTAGTTAATTTACATATCAAGTACAAAATGTATGATGAGATATGAGTTAATGGTAGATAGCAGTATAAACCATTACAAAAACTAGTATTCTCATGGTTCTATTAGTTAATAGTTTAAACATGCATTACATTAATTTTCATAATATAATTTGCATATACAATTCATGACTTCTTGGGAACAGTAATCCCTGCATTAAAATACATTTAAACCATATGGATGTGTAGAAAAATTTAGTGTCTTTTTTTTCATTCATTACTGGTACAAAAAATATAGTCCAACAGAAACGCTTAATATAAAAATATAATTTTTGGAAAGTAATAATTATAATAATAATAATGCAGTCATTTATAGTTTTAGATAAATCAGTTGTACAACATATCAAAAATGTTTTATCCTCCGGAGCCTTCTTTTATGTTTAACATTAACATTTAATTAAAGAGTGTGATACTCATTATAAACTTATTTTTCAATACTTTGAACATGCTTTAATTTACATATACTGTAGAAATTATCAGCATCATGATGACAACAAACAAGTTGGCTTCCATTTAAAAAATGCTGTGGTAGTCTGTATAATTTCATTTGTTCAACAATTTACAACATATGTAAATCATTTTTACTGACTTAGTTAATTTACATATCAAGTACAAAATGTATGATGAGATATGAGTTAATGGTAGATAGCAGTATAAACCATTACAAAAACTAGTACTCTCATGGTTCTATTAGTTAATAGTTTAAATATGCATTACATTAATTTTCATAATATAATTTGCATACAATTCATGAATTCTTGGGAACAGTAATTCCTGCATTAAAATACATTTAAAGCATATGGATGTGTAGAAAAACTTAGAGTCTTTTTTTTCATTCATTACTGGTTAAAAAATATAGTCCAACAGAAACGCTTAATATAAAAATATATGCATTACATTAATTTTCATAATATAATTTGCATACAATTCATGAATTCTTGGGAACAGTAATTCCTGCATTAAAATACATTTAAAGCATATGGATGTGTAGAAAAACTTAGTGTCTTTTTTTTCATTCATTACTGGTAAAAAAATATAGTCCAACAGAAACGCTTAATATAAAAATATAATTTTTGGAAAGTAATAATTATAATAATAATAATGCAGTCATTTATAGAGTGCTCTTATCAAAGATATCACAGCGCTTAATAATAATATTGCCAGAGAGGTTGTGAACTAGAACCTCTGGTCTTGAGCAAAATTGCATGCCGTAATGCAATTCACAAAATTTGCATTGAAATTCAATCTAATTCGAGGTAATATATACAACAGGATATATGTTTAGTTGCAAATATTTCAAAAGTTAGCTGGATTAAATCCTTTCGACATTAATTGCTTTTCTGTCAGGGATGATAAGATCATTCATTACCAAGTAGGACTTAGCAATGCTATAAACTTTCATGTGTCAAGAAAACATGCTATTATTACCTATGGGATATTTCTCATTACTACAAGGATTGCTGGAGCTAGTATAATACTATCATAAACATCAAGGAAACATAGAGTAAAACATGAAAGATCACCATCACCTCTACCAGTAGTCCAGTAGCAGAAAGGGGGGGGGGGGGGGGGAAATCACCACCTGAAGAGTGACAAATTTTCATCCACCTTTTCTAGAATTTTGCATAGATTACAAATCTGAAGGGTGATCAACCAACTTCGGGGATAAGATCTGATCAGTCAATATTGGGTCAAAGGTCAGAATATACTATTTGATTGACCATTATAACAATTTACAGGTACTCTTAATAATCAAGCATATAATCTACAATTCAGTGTCATATCTCTATTTTGCATTAAGAACCTGATCAGCATAAAAATATCAAATCAGAATTTTTGGTCAGTAGATATCAGGGTCAAAGTTCAAAGTTGATCATTAATAATTGTCCATTTATAATTATTTACTATAAAAATAACCAATTATGAAAGCTATAATTCAGTTTTATATCAATCTGTTATCCTTGCAAATACACCTAATCACAATTTTAAAAAAATAAATTAATGTACTTTGATCAGTCGATATTGGGGTCAATGGTCAAAATTGATCATTTGGTTGACAATTTACTGTTAATAACCAATCATAATCAACAATTCAGTGTTATATTTCTGTGTTGCGCTTTTAGGTACCTGATCACCTTAAAAATATCAAATCAGATAATTGATCAGCCAATATGAGGGTCAAAGTTCAATATTGATCAACAATAATTGTTCATTTATAAAAATTGATTATAAAAATAACCAATTATGAAAGTTAAAATTCATTGTGCTTTTAAATCCTAAAACAGGGTTAGCCAGGTTGTAGCATTTCTTACTTGTTCCGTGTGGGTTGAAGTTATAATGTATTTAGAATACATGAATATTACTTCCCTTCATTTCAAGAAATACATCCACACAGAAGGTAATACATTTTTTGTATTACCAGTTTTTATGTTTGTTTTCTTCCTTTTTATTCTCTATAACTCTATTTACAGTATCTTTTCTATAAGCATTCTGTTTATATCTCTATATTTTCTTTCTCTTTAATTTTTATATGCTTTCAGGAATTTCTTCCTTTTTTCCGTGGTTTTAAGTTAACAATTGCAATTTACATTCAATTTATTCACAGAACATCTTCACAATCTGATTCATTCACTGTATTCACTCTTAATGTTCTACACCATATATCAATCCAATGGATCGGTACATTTCAGTGCACATTTTACTGGAGTTAAATAGTGCATGGTGGTTTAGGAGACAGATACTGGTAACACATCCATATTAGTTACTTCGAGCTGAATGCAATGCCAAATACAGATAACCATCGTCAATCACCATTGTCATCATTAAAGTGGTTTCATAAAATTTAAACTCTGGCTTTATGCAATTAGATCACATTTTGGTTGTAAAAACAATACCTTACCAAGCTTAATATCGCAGACAAAATTGTTTGATTTGGGTTTTTTATGATGATTGGGTAACTTAAATCACAAAAAAAAAGTTATAACACAACGATTGTAGCTTTCCTGATTGGATATTATTGTAAGTTGCTATATTTGGCCAGCTAACTGGTCAAATATGACCTTTGACACTAAATATTGGCTGATAAAATAATTTAACTATTTCATGACAATTGGAAATCTAAAAGCATACCAAAATGGTGAAGCATCATGTTTTAGATTTAATAATTGGTTATTCACGTAACTTGCTATAATTGGTAAATTTTGACCTTTAACTCCTTATATCTCGAAAACGCAGACGAACCTGGCTGATCACTCTCCATTTTTAGAATCTGCACAAAAAAATTGGTCTAGAAAAGTTGGATGAAAATTTGTCCCTTGTCGGGTGGACTATAAGAGTATTTTT